GGCATAATGTCGTGGTTGATGCTATAATCCTTTGTGGATTTTCGTCACCAATAATTAATACCGACAGTATGAATTACACACGGTCAGTACTTCTTCTTTAGTTTAATGATATTGTTCCCATGGTGTCATTGTGACGTCCAGTAACATGGAAATAAGTATTAGGAAATGTTATTACATTTTACGATCAGTGAATTTGATGCCCGAACATTTCGAATGATGGTTCAATTCATGTGAAAAACGTAGTTAATGAAAATTAGTTGCTGTTCACTTTCGAAGAATGTCAGTGCCAAATGTTCACGAGAAAAAATAGGAATACAACATTTTTTTATTTAAATTAAAGAATTTCTTTTCTGATAATATTAAATTTGCATTACATTATATGTTTTGGTGATTGATGATATTGCCTAGAGCAATCCCAAATAAGGGAACTAAATTTACATTGCAACTTTTTTGTTCAAAATCTGCAGACGATTTTTGTAGCTTTCCAAAGCAACTCTCTCATATACAAAAAATCTCCTACCTTCCAAAGTTAATTTCCCTACTTCGTTGAATGGTTTCCCGCTTTCAAAAGCAACTTTTTCAGCTTGAAGACGAATTGTCTGCCTTTCAGAAGAACTTTTCTAATTTTGCAGAAGCCTCCCTCGATTTTCGAAGCAAATTTGCAAACTACTTTACCACAATGCAAAGTAACTTTTCAACCCTTTAGATTACTTTTCTGCCCTTCAGTGCAACTTTTATAAATTTTGCAGATACATTTCGCGCCATCCACATCAAATTTCTCAACTTTACAGACGACTAGTTTTGCATTCCAATGCAACTTTCTCAACATCGCATTCAAAGTTAATTTCATCATCTGTAGACTTAGACTATTCATCAAATACAACTTTTTTCTTCTCTACACTAATTAACTTTCCCGTCTCGCCAATAACATGAGTAACATAGTCGGACCCTGGAAATCATAAACAACGTATATAGTCAAGGTTTAAATGAACATTACCTAGTTATGGTGGATCTCATTCATGTTACCAACTGTGCACACAGTTTGTTTTCTTGCCGTCCAATGCAGGTTTTTCAACTTTCAACAAGAGACTGTCCCGACTCCCAAAGCAACGTTTCCAAATTGACTACTTTCCAGTCTTTTAACGGAACTTTTCAAATCTGCAGATGTTTTTGTCTGCATTTTCAAAGCAACATTTCCAGCTTTGGAGACGAATTATTCTCATCAAATGCAGTTTTTCTCGCGTTGCCATTTAGAACATCTTTTCAAACTTTGCAGACAACGTTCCTGGCTTGAAAGCAACTCTCTCAACTATGACAGCAATAATCAACTAATTTTACATAACATGTTATTTTGCAAACAGGGTTCAATTCGTCCAAAACTTTTTACAACATTGCATAAAGCAACTTTACTTACTATGCAGACGACTTTTTCGCGCCTTTCAAAGTAACTTTTTTCACAGACTATTTGGCCACAATTGAAAACAACTTTCCAAACCTGTATA